CATGGTCGGTACGGTTCGAAGATTGATAAATCTCTGGAACCGTACCAAAATTCGGAGATCACTAAAATTCGATCTCTGGAAACGTACGGTTCGGTTCCGTTCAGAGTTTTTGTTTTCGGTTCGGTTCGGTATTCGGGATTATCGGAACGGTTCGGTTCGGTTTGATTCAGGTCGGATATTCGGAGATTTCTAATTATTTTTAATTTTTTATTGAATGACCACCTAGTTATATTTTATTTTTTATAATTTTTTTTCTAATGCTACATTCATCAACACTTCATCATACTAAAGATTTTATTTTTAAATTAACTTTAGAAATAACTCTAAATTTTAGTTAAAACTAAATTTGCGCAACTAAGATTGAAAATTGAAAATTAAAAAAAAATATATATATAGTTTTTTATTAATGTAATATTTCTTTAACCTTCCATACCATGTTTCTTATAAGATAGAATAAGATTAAATATCGACAAATTTAAGTAAAGTTCCTATATTTAGAAAAAAAAAAAAAAAAAAACATTTCTTTAACCTTTCAATTGTAGATTAACTATTATTAGCATGAAATAAAAGTAAAGCTTAATTGTTATTATTATATTTTTGTATTTTTTAAATTCTCAACTTATATAGGATCAAAGTTGACATAAAATATATTAATAACACACATCTATTTTTATAATTTGGTTCTTTGGTTCGGTATGATACTGTTCGGTTCGGTTCGGTTCTCGGTACGGATATTTGTGAAATCTCTAGAACCATACCAATTATTTTTTCGGTTCGTTTCGAAGAAATTCAAACGGTCAACGGTTATTTATCGGTTCGGAGTGATTTCGGAATGGTTCGAAAATCTCCGAGTCCATGCTCAGCCCTAGTCATAATTGCCCAAGTCGCCTTTTCGTAAAGTTGTCTAGTCGGCGGACTTAAATGGTTTCAAAAATCTAAATTTTGAACAAATGTGTTGTATAGGATCAGTTTAGATGATGTATTATGTTGAACCTCGGATGACCCAACCAAATAACAGATCACCCGAGACCACCCGAGCTCGAGGACTTGTATGTTGACATCCGAACTGACGACTACGTCATCGTCCGACACGTGGCGTAAAGAAACACAATCTACATCCGACCTCGAGGGTCGGACTGAATGGACCAGTTCAGTTCGTCGCCCATATGTAGGAATCAACTCGACACTAGATAAGATTCCATGTAAAGGACCCGACTTCTCCACCTCATGTACCGACCTACAACCTTTGAAGGCCGACCTCTGATAGCGCATTAAATGAAGACAAGAAGCATGTCAATCGTATTGTCGAAAGTGATTATTGAGAGTGGTCCCGCTAGATCTGCAGAGGCGCACGTCGTCGTCAATTCCAATTAAATGTTGATGTAATGACATTGTGAACAGTGCCCGTGAGTTTTGTACTATGAATACGATCATTTATTATACCAAAGACATGATTAGAAATTCTCTTTCTAAAAATAACTCCAAGTTGTATTGAGCAACCGAGCTATTTCACTATATAAAAAAACACGGTCCTCATTCAGTATTAAAAATGTTTTTACTTAGGATATTTTCCTTACCCGTTGACTCGAATTTCGTACATCAACAAGCATATTACCGCTTCGTAATCTTGTTGACAAAAGTCCCATCGACATACAATAGTAACTAGTGTTTTTGGTTGGAAATTGGTGTAGATTATTATTATTATTATTATTATTATTATTATTATTATTATTATTATTATTTAGTGGTTTGGTGGAGAAATTAAGGTTTAGGACTAGGGGTCTTATATAAAGGACTCCCTCTATTTTATTTACCTTGGTTGATTATGAATAAAAAGAAGAATTATATCGTATTTAGATGTTCTTGAGATTGCGATCTCATTAATATTGTCTCACTCGTACGCTTTCGTGTCAGAAACAAAAATGAGAAAATTTATGTATCAATCACAACAATTTTCTAATCCTTTGTGAAACCTATTCATGCCAAGCTTAAATTTAGAGCTAACATGCAAGCCGGCTAGGGCTATCATGCAAACTGATTAGGGCATTATGCCAAAATTGCCAATAATACATAGGTAAACAAGGCTGTGTCATAGCTGTTTGATAAAAGCAATATTAATGTTAAAATCTGAACGTGTAATGTTTGACTTTGTTAAGCTAGGGTTTTGCCCTAAACAGTCAAGTGTTAGGATCGAGTTGTTGTGTTGACTCACGTTTCGAATGCTTGAACCGTTATGTAATGGATCCACGAATAGCTTTTTAAGGCACAAAATCTCACGTGATCCCCACTCACAGGCACGTCTTGAAATTCGAATGTTCTTAAACTTTGAATACAAAGTCTCACGTGATTCAATGAACACAACAAAATCAGTCCCATAGATAGAAATTCAAAGGTAATTAGAAATTGAAATTTAACGGGCATATTCATAACTATCAGGAGAAATTGAATAAGCATTTAATTTATCAATCTATAGAATATGGATCTTTGCTTAAATTAAATTGCACATCGAACTTACAAGAATCCAAGCTTATAGTCTTTCCCTGTTTTCTTGATCTTTGATGTTGATCTACAATCTTCTTTCTCTCGGATTATTTCTCTGGATTGTTTCTCTCTCTTGCGTCTCTCTCTTCTTATA